AGGGTAGATGATCCAATAGAAGGGAAGGAAAAGGGCTTAGAGGTTCAGAATGATGTTCGTCATAATCCTACTTAACCCACTAAAAAATACATCATCAATCCCTCTTAAAACCCAGGGAAGAGGACCCAAGTCGTGATTCCGTCCTAATTCCAAGCTCATCCAGGGAGAAATTGGCCTGGATAAGCCCCATGATCCTTAGCTCTCTCTCATATTAGTATTTTTCCTCACACAATACTGAGTGAGCAATATATCAAAATGCTGTCTTTGACAGGTTTATTCAATTTACTCAGGGAAGTAAAACCAAATAACTGAGAAGGAAAGAACCTGGCCAGTGAATATGTCAAAGCAACTTCTTATACTTTGAATAAATAAAGAGTAGCACATGACAGGATAAACATTTCAGATAAAAAAAAAAAAAAAAGTCAACATTAGAAGGCCAGGGCTGGGAAGATTAAAAAGTAAGATCCAGCCTGATCCATGACAGGAGAGATGGGGGAGGGTGCCCGAAGGGGAGGAAACCTCAAAGACCCAAGTCCTGGCCAGGTGTAGGGGAAGGGGGACAGGGAGCCAGCGCCACTCACACCTCTGCAACCTCTTTAATACAAATCCAAGCCTCTCCTGTGCCTCAGTTTCCCCAGAACTCCCTCACTCCTGGTGAGACACTGCCCTCCAGTCCAGCTGCTCAACACTCCCTACAGCATGTTGAGCTTGGCCCACACACAGTCAGTCCTTATTTGAGAACCTTCAGCCCTCCAGGGCACAACTCAAGGAAGAAGAAACTGGCAGTGAGGTTTTAGACTCCCTCCAAATCCCCTTTGGTGTGGTTGTTCAAGTGTGTCACCAACAGCCATACACAGGTTTCAACCCCAAAAGACAGAGCAGAGCTCTCACACCTGACTTCTTTATTAAGTCTCACCTGCCTTTACCTGTGTTTTTCTCTCTTGAGGGGCAAGAACTTCCTGCACCTCCTATCCTCAGCCTCCCATCCTGGATTCCTCCAAAATCAGTCCTCCTAGCTCAGTTCCTGACAGAAACCATTCCCTGCCTTCAAAATTCTGAGTCAACTGTCTTATCTTTCCTGAAAGCCTAAATTTGAAGGCTATGCCTTTTTTTTATGCTTTTGCTCCAATTTGAAAATCAAAGCTGAGAAATTATTTCTTTAATCTACATGAAATTCATATTTATCTCTTCTGGCACAAAATATCCTATCTGAATAGCAGAGGGGCCCAGGGAAGAAACGACAATCAAGAGGGAAAAATATTGCAATTAATATTTCAACATATAATGACAGCTTCAACAAATAAAACATTTCAGGTCCATTAGGAAACCAAAGGTCCCCATGAGCAGACCAGGACTGAGGAAGACTGGAGTGTGAGATCTGACCTCACCTACAACAGGAGACATGGGTGAGGCTGGACAAGGGGCAGGAAACCTCAGAAGACTCAAGTCATGGGCAGGTATGGGAGGAGGACAGGGGCCCTGAGCCACTCAAATTCCCAGAGAAAACTTCCTGGAAGAAGTCAGATATCAGAGATGGGAAGGTATAAGAAAAATTGCCAAGAATAGGTCAAAAGATTCTGAAAGGGGAAGGTCAAAAGGGCCTTACAAGGGAGGTGACCTGGCAGGGGATGGGGCCTGAGTCTCCAGTGGGCACACCAGGGACAATTAAGGGGTCCAGAGAGGCCCACGTGAGTTCTTCCAGGGTCAACTCCTGCTCACAAACACACTGTCCTACAGGCAGGGCCAACTCAAAGTGTAATTTGAGGACGCCCCAACCTGGAGAGGCTCTTTATCACAAATTATCTCCCTCTTTAATAATTCCTGAGTCCCTTTAGAATAGCATGTCACTCTGTGCTTGGGGAACCCTCTGAAAACAGCCCACCGCCCTCCAAAGGTTCATGGAAAGACCTCCTAGAAAACTGGCTACGTCTGTATCCTATAAGTTAGGCATTAAAAATTATCTTGAGAATAATTGGCAAAGGTGTGCTTGGCACAAAAAGGTTGAGAGCAACTGACCTGTAGGAATGGGGCAGCCTGAGACCAGTCATGAGGGAAGGGACACAACTGCGGACTGTTCCCCGTTCATCACATGACAATGGACATGGACACTGACCAGAGCTCTCCACAATCTGATGCCAACCTCCCTTCTGCATTCATCACCCCACAACCCCACCCCTCAATCATCTTCATCAACTCTGTTTCCACCCAGCTGGCCTCAACAACACTCACATGTGTCCATTCTCTCTCTTTTTGTCCTAGCTCATTCATTTTTGTTAGTGCTTATCAGCTGTCTTCTTTCTGCCAAGCATGGGGGACAGAGAAAGGAACAGGACAGACCTCCTCCCTGTCCTTATGAAATTTTTCATAGAGACAAGGTCTCGCTCTGTTGCCCAGGTTGTTCTCAAATTCCTGGCCTCAAGCAGTCCTCCCACCTGTGACTCCCAAGCACTGGGATTACAAGTGTGAGCCATTGCACTTGGCATAGATTTTAATCACTAGACATTATTGAGGGGGGGTTGTCTGTTTCATCCTGGTAACTGAAAAATAAGAGATTCTTTCTATATCATTGTAGAAATTTTCAGATTGTGCTGTGAGTCAATAATTTCTGCATTTGAATTTATTCTCTTTCTCTTTAAGGTTTCTACCACTTTTGGACTCAAACTCCCGAGCCCTTGAACCTTGGTTTGCTTGTGTTTACTCTGCCCTATAGTAGCAGCCACTGGGGACTTAAATTTTTGCCTTCAGTGAAAATTTTATTCTAGTTGATCACAAGACAACACTCAGCCAGCTGTTTTACCCACCACTGCACACAGACCTGCAATAAATCCCCAAGACCTCTGTGTTCTCACTGCCGTCAGCCACACTCTGGCCCTGTAACAAATGTCAGGTTCCAACCACTCCACTTCCCTGAGCACCTGTTGCCCAAAAACAATCTTTGTACCAACATCTGTATCACTCAGGATCATTCATCACCAGAAACACAATATAAATCTGACGTTAAGCAGAAAAAATATTTTTCTATTGTTTAGCTCTCAAAGTCCATGCACAGAACACAGAGCCCAGACTCAGAATTAGGCAGGAAAAACGAAGTCAATGGCAGCCCACAACTAGCCCTGTAAACACACTGCAGTCGCCAGCAGGGGGCACCAGAAGCCACAGCAAGGACCAATGTGAAACCGCATGGACTGGACACTGGACAACCCCATGGCTACTGCTGTCCCCTTGCCCCCAGGAGCTGGCAGTTCTGGCCACTGCCAAGACCAACAGAAGAAACTGTCCACGGTGCCTTTTTCTGTATCTCTAACCCTGACTCAGTGTTAGAGCAAAAGTTCCTGCCTGCTGAACCCACGCCATGTGGATACCTGGTCCTTCTATGAAAAGGGAGGCTGCAAAAGGGTGAGTCTAGCTACTTCCTCTTCTATGATGGAAGATAGGGATTCCCCAAGCATAGAAATGCAAGGAGGGAGAAACGTGAATTTCCTTCACACAGCCAGGGCAGAGTAGGGTAGGAGACAGTGATGGTCACACCCCTGCTGGGATCTACTCATGTCCCGGTTTTGGACCTGTTGAGAGCGTTTCCAGAGAGGAAGGATAAAGTCTAGTATGACAACATCCAAATCCACCTACTCCCCCCATGGGAGTGTCATCATAGACATGGAGGGTGACACACATCCCAACCATCTGTCCCCTGCCATTCCAGCCCACTGACATCCTGTCATCTGACGATGCCCCAGTCCTGAGACCAGCCGTCTCAGCTCTCAGTCTGCAGACCCTGTCTGTATACCCACTGACCACAACCTCTGCCCAGCCTGCTTCCTGTGTCCTCTTTCCTCACGGTCAGGGGAGAAAGCCCATCCTGGCACTCCCACTGGCCTGTAGGTTCTCCTCCCCTGAGCAGGGCCCCACAACCCAGAGAAAGATCTGTGTTTCCTGACCAGAACCTCAGAATCTTCCAGTCAGGAACAATGGTAACAATGGCGCCTGTCCTGCTGTCTCTGCTGCTCCTTCTGGGTCCTGCAGTCCCCCAGGAGGCCCAAGCTGGTGAGTGGGGAGCAAGGATAGGGACTGGAGAGGCCTGGAAGGAAGGTGAAGAACAGGACTGATGGGCTGGGAGGAGTCCCTGATGCAGCTGGGATTCCTAGTGTATGACAGTGATGGGTGTCACGGATATCATCCAACTCACCTCACACACAGCCAGGAGTATTCGGTATTTGAACCAAGAATCTGCCATATTAAATCCAAAATTTGTAACAGCCAGGTCAGTTATATCACAAATTAATTATGGAACTAATTATGGAAATATCTCCCTCTCCCAGCCCTTCTCTTATACCAAAATGCAAGGTACAGCTGTGGGAATTCTTGTTTTTTTGTTTTGTTTTGTTTTTGCATTTACAGAAACTCTGGCAATTCTAACATCAATCTTAGGCTTATCTCAGGCTGACCCATTCGGGGTTATTTCTTCATTTTTCTAGTAAATTCTCCTCTTGCACATTCTAACTATATGTATTGGTCAGGTTTGCATAACACTGTTTATTTCTCACTCAGGGCCAGTTCAATGCAGATTGAGCAATTTCCTCTCCTCCACAGGGTGACTGACGGATGCAGGCTTCCCATCTTATGACTGTTCTGTTTTGTCCTGTGACCTCCAGGGCCACCATTAAAGGGAAGTGTGATAGAGGGGCCAAGTCAGCTCCTAGAGCCTTGGACCAGGACAAAGACATCCCTTCCACTCACGTTCCCTTCAGCCAAATCTCAGTCACGGAGTCCCAATATGTATACACACAGGCAAAGAAATATCATCCTCTTATGTGCCAAGCAGAGGAAACAACATAGTGAAGACACAGGATGGTCCCTGAAATTCCATCCCCAGAATGAAACAGCCTGTCTCTTGAGTGAGGCTCCAGTGGTGGGAGGCTGACTGAGGGCAGAGAAATGGGGAGAGGGAGGCCCAGTGGCCACCTGGCCCTCTGAAGCCCCAGACTGGGACTCCCCTGTAATGACACCACCCCCTCAGAGTCTTCTCCTGTTTTGCAGATCATTACTCTCTGACCTATCTCTACACTGGGCTGTCCAAGCCCAGGGAAGGCTACCCCAAGTTTTGGGCTGTAGGCTTCCTCAATGACCAGGAATTCCTCCACTACGACAGTGAAAGCAGGAAGGCTGAGCCTGTGGGACCATGGAGGCACGTGGAAGGAATGGAGGATTGGGATAAGGAGAGCAACCTTCAGCAGGCCAGGGAGGACATCTTCCTGGACACGCTGCAAGACATCATGGACTATTACTATGACAGAAATGGTCAGTGCACAACACACGGCTGGGTGGAGGGTCTTAGCTCAGAGGCAGTGGCAAGGGATCAGAGGGATGGAAATGTTCCCTGTAAAATGAGGAACAGGAGGCACAAGGAGAGATGTATGAACACATGCCCATCCCCCACCGCACAGCACCTGCTTCCTCCCACCCTGGTGCTCCTCATGCTCACCCCAGGCCTCAGCGCACACCAGGAGAGATGCCAGAGTCATGCCTTCTCCTGGCACCTCTGACCTCTCTCCTCCACACCCAACCTGTCTCAGGCTGATCCCACAAGAGAAGGTCTAAGACTCATGCATCAAGGGTGTTGGGTCCACAGCAAGGCAAACTTGGCATCAGTCACACCTGGGTTCACAGGGTTGAGCCTCTACTTGCTGTTGACAGTACCCAGGATCTATATTTACCTGGTCTAAATCTGTAAAAATTGAAACACTGGGAACTACCTCCAAGAGATGCTGTAAAATTTGTCTGCTCCATGCAGGACAAAACAGTCTGTCTCAATCTCCCTTGTATTCCATCACCTCGAACAAGGTGCAGCCAACATTTGCTCAACTGAAATATTTTGAATGAATACAGAAAGAAAACCTACCACACACCATAGCCCACACTGGGAGCTCAGTAAGTGCTGGATTTTCAACCACAGACTGCTAAGAGTTACATGGAGCCATAATGATGTCCCTGTCCACATTCAACAGACCCGAAAAGGGTCATGCACATGCAGTGTGGAGACAAGGGGTAGAGCCAGCATAGAGACCTATCCCTGTGTCCCAGCCTGGTACTCTTTCTCCCAAACACACTGCCTGTCGCCCTAGGCAGCCAGTCTCAGGCCTGGTGGACTTTGAATTGTAAATTATTATAGGTTTGGGGTTAAAATGTGGGCTTCTGAGTACAAAATACCAAGAAGCAAAATGGAATGTAATGGTTTGCATCCGGACACGAAAGGTCTGCAGAAATAGGAAGGATGTGCAATAGGAAGTCTTGGTAAGGAAAGTGGCCGGGACCATGTGTCCAAAATAGGAGAGGGGAGGGCACAGGTGCCCAAGAAGGACACTGGGGGGCAGTTCATTGAAGGAAATACAGGGTCAAAGTGAATACTTATGAGAAAAGAGGATGAAGAAATAAACATGGGGCATTAGAAATTAATAGGAGCTAACATATATTCAACACTTGCTATGTGCCAAGCTCAGGTACTCACATGATAAATCTCACAATAGCCCTGCACATTATTACTTTGCCACTGCCTTTTCACAGAGGAGCAAGAGAGGCACAGAGAGGCTACTGGCTCAAGGTCATCACACAACCCAGGTGGGCATGGGGAGAGATCTGGGATTTCAGCCCATGTGGCTTGACAGCTCTCAGCCTGTGCCAACTGCACTGACCAGTATTAGATAAACACCTGCTCTTACAATCACAGTGAAGAACTGATGTCACTCTGCCCGAAGGAGGTCAGTGTCTGAGAGTTGTTGCTAACAGGCAACAGGGGCTTTAGAGGGTTGGGGCTTTAGAGGTTCGGAATAAAGACATCAACCACTGGAAAGGAGGGAAAAGTGATCAAATTAGGTTTCATCAAGTGATGTTATGAATTCCACCCAGGGAAAAGGACAGATGCCCATAATCTCTAAGAAACCAATAGTAATTTCTATAGAATTTTGAAATGCACTTTCAAGTGGTTGTGACAGGATCCTCAGCACTCACATAAATCTAACAAAGACCTTCACCAGCAGTAAGCTCGAGAAGGACTAGAAATCCGCCCATCTTCTGTATCTCTCTCAAGTTTCCTGCTTCGGAAGAACACGTCTCATCTCAGACTGCCTGAAATTCCAAACCGAGGTTTCCCCCTCTGCCAGCTGCATGTCCAGGTAGTAAACTATTTGCCAGGATAGAGGGACTGCATGCTTAGATTTCAGAAAACATCCTCTTATTGAGTTGAAGGTGCATAGGAGGAAGAGTCATTCAGTGTGCTTGGCACCAGGCTGACTGGCTTCCTCTGGGTTTGGGGGAGGCTTCAGGGTCTCACACCTTTCAGGGAATGTTCAGTTGTGAACTCCAGAATAACAAAAACAGTGGAGAATTCTGGAAGTCTGCCTATGATGGAGAGGACTTCATTGAATTGAACAAAGAAATCCCGACCTAGGTCCCCTTGGACCCCGCAGCCTGAAACACCAAGAAGTGGGAATCCTACGTGCAGAATGCCAAGGAGTATCTGGAGGAGGAGTGTCCTGGGATCCTGCAGAGGTACCTGAACTATAGCAAGCATATCCTGGACTGGCAAGGTACTCACCGCTTCCTGCTCCCCAGCACTGAGCTGAGACGGACCAGGTGGCCTCAGTGTAGGCACTCAGGAAACATCTCAGGCTGGTAACCTCCAAAGCTAGATGTCCCTCACACCTCCAGGAGGTGAAAGGATGTCCCACTCAGCTCCTGGCATTCATTCCTTCCCTGGAAGGGCATATGTGGGAGCCAAAAAAAAAAAACCCTTCATCAAAATTTCAAAAATGATGGGTGAGAAAAAGACATCAGCTCAATGGCAGTTTCCGTAAATTTCCCCCTTTTGAGGGATGGGGCTAACCATGGGAAGCTGAGGTTACATTAACACTGTCCTTAAGCGGCAGACTTAGGGCACAAAGTCCATATTTCAGATTCCAAATCCCATTGGTGCTTCTCTCTACAAACATGCCGCCTGAATTGCTGTCGTGGGGTGGAGTGAAGGCACATGTGTAAAATGTCTGCCCTGGAAGGAGCAGAATGAGCCAGTGTGACCACAGTTTATGGCCACAAGCTGAGACATTGATCTGAGAGGTGGTGAGAAGCAGGACTGTGCAATGGCACAGGGAGGAGATTGTGGAACGCAGGCAGCTCTAAGGAGACCTTAGACCGAGGGAGAGAGGAGCTGTGAGCCACTGAGATATGGGAGAACACGGGGAGGATCGTGGGCATCCCAGGTGGGTGCCTTCTCTTGTAAGTACATTCTGGGACTGGGGGCAAGGAGGAAAGGAGCCAGGGACATTCCATGATCCAGCAGGGAAGGCCCCAATGAAGCCTCAGCCCTCCGCCACCTCTGTGAAGCTTTCCTGGAGGTGAGGTGTTTGGGACTGGTACAGACTTAGAGCTCTGCTGATCCCTGACATCCAGGGAAGGACAGTGGGAACAGACATGGGCCAGGAGAAGTGGTCGTCGTCCCTCAGTGTCCACCCTCTATCTGCCCACAGATCCTCCCTCTGTGGCAGTCACCATCCGCATCACCCCAGGAGAAAACATTATCCTCAAATGTCAGGTCTATGGCTTCTACCCACAAGGAATTGGTCTGCACTGGACTCGGGACGGTGAGATACAGGAGTCTGAGTCAGAGGGTGACGTCCTTCCCAGCAGAGTGGGCACTTACCTGTCTTCCGTGCTATTAGAAGTGCCCCCTCAGGACAGACACGCTTATTCCTGTCACGTGGAGCACAGTGCCCTGGCCCAGCCCTCTCAGTGCCCTGGGACGGTAGGCAGGACGCAGGTGCTGGGGACACTAGGGGGACTCAGTCCCAGTAGCCAACCTCTCTGCCTGTCATGAGAGCTGAACTTCACAAGTCACCGTGAGTGGCATCGCCAAGGCCCGGGAGCAGTGCACAGGTAGACAGGCTAGGGATTTGCAGAAGGGGTGGGAATGCCGGGCACTGAGCTGACTCTCATGGCCACGGGACCTCACCTGGCTAATCACAATCCCCATGTCCAATCTGTAGAACCTAATAAACAATAAATTTGCCCAGCACAACATAAACAGGTGTTTTTCTTTTGGGAATACTTTCAAAGTGAGAGCCAGCTTCACCATTCTTCCTACTCCTCAGCATTCAACTCTTCCCATATTCTTGGTCTTTAATCAAAGCCATGTTTCCTGGGTACGTTGACTTGGGACATCCCAAGTGTGACTTACACCACCTGGTCCCTTTGGTTGTCGAGGCTTCCACTGCTGACATCCACAGATGTGGCCATGGCCACTCTCCCTATGACGACCCTGAATTCTGCAAGCTCTGCATCCTCTGCAAAACAAAATAAAGACTCTTCTGTGCATCAGTTTCCCCAGAATTCCCTCCACACCCCCTCCACACCATCTGCTCCACAGCTTGCATCAGTTTCCCCAGAATTCCCTCCACATCCCCCTCCACACCATCTGCTCCACAGCTTGTTAGCCTTGACCCACACACAGCAGAGCTTGGTTGAGAACCCTCACACCCCCAGGACACAACTCAAGGAAGCAGGAATTGGCCCTGAGATTCTTAGACTCCAGCCAAATCCCTGTGATTGTGTTTATTCAGCTAAGTCACCAACTACCACACACAGGTTTCAACCCCCAACATATAGCAGAGCTCTTACACCTTACCTTTTCATTAAATGTCACTTGCCTAGGACTGTGGTTTTCTTACTTGAGGGACAAGAATTTCCTGCCCCTCCCAGCCCAGATTACTCCTAAATCAGTCCTCGAGCTGAGATCTTGAAAGAAACCATTCTGAGCCATCAGAATTCTAACTCAACCATTTTATGTTTCCTGAAAGCCTAACTTTGAAGGCTATGACTTTCTTTTTTTTTTTTTTTTTTTTTTTTTTACTGCTTCTGCTCTAAGTTCAAAATCAAAGCTAGGAAAATATTCCATTAGTCTACATAAAATCCACATTCCCCTCTTCTGGCACAAAAAGTCCTATCTGGACAGTAGAGGAACCCCAGGAAAAAAAGACAAAAATTGTCAAGAGGAAAAAATATATTCTAACATATGACGACACCTTCTACAAATAAAAAGGAAAGGATAAACATTTCAGATCAATGAGGAAATCAAAGTCCATGTGAACCACCCAGGGCTGAGGAAGACTGGAGTGAGATCTGATCTCGCCTACAGCAGGGGAGATGGGTAGAGAAGAATGAGGGGAAAGAAACCTCGGAAGACCCAAGGATGGCCAGCTGTGGCGAGGAGGACAGGGGCCCAGCACCACTCAGACATCAGAGAAAACTTCCTGGAGGGACTCAGACTTCAGAGGAGACAGGAAGGCCTAAGGTAGCTACCCAAGAAGAGGTCAGAAGTTTCCTCACGAGGTAGGTGTGAGGCAGCTGAGAGGGGAGGGTACAGGGGCCTGACAAGGGACGTCACTGGGAGTAGGGCTGGGACACAGGCATCCACTCAGCATCAACAGGGAAAATTAAGGGGTCCACAGAAGCCCATGTGGGCTTTTCCAGGGTCACCTCCTGCTCACAAACACATTGTCCCCCAGGCAGGGCCAACTCCAGGTGTAATTTGAGGACACCCCAACCTGGAGAGGCTCTTTATCATAAATTATCTCCCTCCTTAATTATACCTGAGTCACTTTAGAATAGCATGTCACTCTGTACTTGGGGAACACTCTGAAAACAGCCCACCGTCCCCCAAACCTGCATGGAAAGCCTGGCTTCCAGAAAACTGGCTGCATCTAAATCCTATGAGTTTTTGTGCATTACAAATTATCTTGAGAATAATTGGCAAAGGAGCACTAGTCACAAAAACGTTGAGAACCGCAGACCTAGATTAATGGAGCAGCCAGAGACCAGTGGTGAAGGAAAGGACACAATTGCGGACTGTTCCCCGTTCATCACATGACAAGGGACATGGCCACTGACCAGAGCTCTCCCCAGTCTGATGCCAACCTTTGGTCTAAATTCAGCACCCCCACAACCCCACCTCAATCATCTTCATCAACTCTGTTTCCACCCAGTTTCCCTCAACAACCTTCACATGTGTCCAGTCTCTCTCTTTTTGTCCTTGCTCATTCATTTTCGTTAGTGCTTATCAACTGTCTTCTTTCTGCCAAGCATGGGGGACAGAGAAAGGAACAGCAGAGACACCCTCCACATCCCTGTGAAATTGGGCCCCATCTGCCAACAGCAATTCTGCTCACCCCCCTCCCATGATGCCTTTCCTGATGGCTTCCCAAACTGGAGATCTTTCTCTATGAAGCTCTTGTTGGTTAACATCTACCATCAGTACCAATCCTACAAGATGGACAACACTGTCTGCATCAGTGTGTTATTAGATGGATTAGGTTTTGGTAGTTTTTCCATGTTCATATTCTCTTTATTGATTTATTTCTTTTATTTCAAAGTAATTAAGGGTCACAAATGTTTTGGTTAAGGATCATTTTTGTAATGCTGGAGTCAGGGTAATAAGTATACCCATCACCCAGATAAGGTTCATTGTACCCCTTAGGTAGGTTTTTGCCAATCACCTACTCCCCACTCCCCACTGCATAACTCTAATTTTATATTACTGCGGTTTTTGGTTTGTTTGTTTGACTTTAACATATTTATAATTTTTTATATTTTTTGTAGACAAGGGTGTCACTAGTTATCCCAGGCTGGGCTTGAACTCAAGACTCTCCCACCTCAGCCTACTCAGTAGGTGGGACCACAGGTGTATCCTAGAAGTACCTGACCCACCCCCAGCTATTTAGGTCTTCATAGTAGGGCTTTATTGGCGGCTTTTATCTCTTTCATCCCAGCAACTATGAAAGATAAAATATTCTTTCTGTGCTACTACAGAAATTTCTCAATATTCAGACTGCACTGTAAGTGATTAATCTGTGCACTTGAGTTTATTCTCTTTTTCTTTACATTTTCTACCACTTCTGGACTCATTTTCCCAGCCCTTGGACCTTGGTTTCCTCATGTGCTTCGCTGTTTCTTATAGTATCAGCCACTGTGGACCTACACCATTCCTTCTGAGAACATTTTACCCTAGTCCACCACTAGACAGTATTCAGCCAGCTGTGTCACCTGTCATTGGGCACCAGGCCTGCCAGAAATCCCCCAGGACATCAGCACAGTCAATGCGTTCAGCACAATACAGCCCTGTAACCAGTGTCAGGTTGCCGTCCCTCCATTTCCCTGAGCAACTACTGCCTGAAAACAGACCTTGTGCCCATTTCTTACCAGTCACGATCATTCATCATCACAAACATAATTGAAATCTGACTTTAAGCAGAAAACTGATTTTTCTATTGATTAGTTCTCAGAGTCCACACACAGGACAAAGAGCCCAGACTCAGAATTAGGCAGAAGCACAAAGTCACACCCCACAACTAGTCCTGGAAACACACTGCAGCTGCCTGAAGGGAGCACCAGATGCCATGGCAAGGACCAATATGCCATCACCAAGGACTGGATACTGGACATCCCCATGGCTACTGTTGCCCTGCTGCCCCAGGAGCTGGCAGTTCTGGCCACTGCCAAGACCAACAGAAGGGATTGTCCATGGTACCTGCTTCTCTGTTTCTCTGACCCTGACTCAGTGTCCAGGGCAAAAGCTCCTGCCTGATGAACCCAAGCCATGTGCACACTTGGTTCTTCTATGGCAAGGGAGGCTGCAAAAGAGGGAGTCTAGCTACTTCCTTTTCCATGGTGGAAGATAGGGATTCCCCAAGAATAGAAATACAAGCAGGGAGAAATGTGAATGTCCTCCACACAGAGCTAGGGCAGGGTGTGGTGGGAAACAGTGATGGTCACACCCCTGCTGGGATCTACTCATGTCCAGGTTTTGGACCTGTTGAGAGCTTTTCCAGAGAGGAAAGATGAAATCTAGTCTGACAAAACCCTAATTCCCATACTCCTCCCATGAGGATGTCATCATACACTTGGAGGCTGACACACATCCCAGCCATCTGTCCCTTGCCACACACAGCTCCAGCCCACTGACATCCTTCCACCTGAGACAGACACCATGCCCCAGTCCCGAGACCAGCTGTCTCAGCTCTCAATCTGCTGATTCTGTCTGTTGAACAACTGACCACAACCACTCCCCAGCCTTCTTCCTGTGTCCTCTTTCCTCACCTTTAGGGGAGGAGCCCATCGTGGCACTCCTATTGGCCTGTAGATTCTCCTCCCATGGGCAGGGCCCCACAACTCAGATAAAAACCTGGGTTTCTTGCCCAGAACTTCAGAATGTTACAGACAGGAACATTGGTAACAATGGTGCCTGTCCTGCTGTTTCTGCTGCTCCTACTGGGCCCTGCAGTCTCCCAGGACGCCCAAGATGGTGAGTGGGGAGCAAGGATAGGGACTGGAGAGGCCTGGAAAGAAGTGAAGAACAGGACTCATGGGTTTGGGAGGAGCCCCTAATACAGCTGGGATTCCCGAGTGTACAACAGTGATGGGTGTCCAGGGACATCACCCAACTCAGCTGACAGACAGCCAGGAGTATTCAGTACTTGAACTAAGAATCTGCTATATTAAATCCAAAATTTGTAACACCCAGGTCAGTTATATCACAAATTAATTATAGAACCTATTATGGATATATCTCCCTCTACAACCCTTGTCTTGTACCAAAATACAAGATACAGCTTGAGAATTCTTTTTTCTTTTTTCTTTTTCTTTTTTCATTTATAGAAACCCTGGGAATTCTAAGATCATTCTTAGTCTTAATGCAGGCTGATCCATTCTAGGTCATTTCTTCAGTTCTAGTACTCTCCTCCTAAGTCTTCTAACTATATGTATTTGTCAGACTTGAATAACACTGTTTATTTTTCACTCAGGGCAAGTTCAATTTAGATCGAGCCCTTTCCTCTCCTCCACGGAGTGACTAAGAGATGCAGGCTTTGGATCTTATGACTGTTCTGTTTTATTCTGGGGTCTTCACAGCCACCACTTAAAGGGAAGTGAGATAGAGTGGCCAAGTCAGCTCCTAGAGCCTTGGACCAGGAGAAAGACATTCCTTCCACTCACATACCCTTCAGTCAAAATTCAGTCACAGAGTCTGAATATGTATACACACAGGCAAAGAAATATCCATCCTCTCATGTGCCAAGTAGACGATACAACATAGTGAAGACAAAGGATGGTCCCTCAAATGCCATCCCGGAAGGAAAAAGCCTGTTCCCTTAAGTAAGGCCCCAGTGGTGGGAGGCTGAGGGCAGAGAGATGGGGAGGGGAGGCCCAGTGGCCAGGTTTTCCCACCTGTCCCTCTGCAGCACCAGAGTGGGACTCCCTGGTGAGAACACCATCACTCAAAGTCTTCTCTTATGTTGCAGATCATTACTCTCTGACCTATTTCTACACTGGGCTGTCCAAGCCCAGTGAAGACTACCCCAAGTTTTGGGCCGTCGGCTTCCTCAATGACCAGGAATTCTTCCACTACGACAGTGAAAGCAGGAAGGCTGAGCCTGTGGGACCATGGAGGCACGTGGAAGGAATGGAGGATTGGGATAAGGAGAGCAAACTTCAGCAGGCCAGGGAGGACTTCTTCCTGGACACGCTGCAAGACATCATGGACTATTACGATGACAGCAATGGTCAGTGCACAACACACGGCTGGGTGGAGTCTTAGCTCAGAGGCAGTGGCAAGGGGTCAGAGGGATGGAAATGGTCCCTGTCCAAATGAGGAACAGGAGGCACAAGGAGAGATGCATGAACACATGCCCATCCCCCACCGCACAGCACCTGCTTCCTCCCGCCCTGGTGCTCCCCATCCTCACCCCAGGCCTCAGTGCACACCAGGAGAGACGCCAGAGTCACACCTTCCCCAGGCACCTCTGACCTCTCTCCTCCACATCCAACCTGTCTCAGGCTGACCCCACAGGAGAAGTTCTCGGACTCACCCCTGTCCATGGGTGTTGGGTCCACTGTAAGGCAACCTTGGGATAAGTCACACTGGGGTTCACATTGTCCAACCTCCACTAGCTGACAGTGCCCAAGTTCCTTAACTACCTGGTCTAAATCTGCAAAAACTGAAAAACTGGGACCTACCTCCACAAGATGCTGTAAAATTTGTTTGATCCTAGGAGGACAAAATAGTCTGTCTCACTATCCCTTGTATCCCATCACTTTGGACAAGGTGAAGCTAACATTTTCTCAATAGAAATATTTTGAAAGAATAGAGAAAGAAAATGTACCACACACAATAGCCCACACTGGGAGCTCAGTAAGTACTGGATTTACAACCACAGACTGCTAGAGTACATGGAGACATAAAGATGTCCCTGTCCATATGGAACAGATATAGAAAGGGTCATGCATGTGTGGTGTGCAGAGCTGGGGCAGAGCCAGCACAGAGACCTGTCCCTGTGTCCCAGCATTGTGCTCTTTCTCCCAAACACACTGCCTGCCTCCATAGGCAGCCAGTCTCAGGGGTAGTGGACTTTGAATTGTAAATTATTATAGGGTGGGGGTCAAAATGTGGGCTTCTGAGTACAAAATACCAACAAGGTAAATGGAATATAAAAGTTTGCAAAGGGACACGAAAGCTCTGCAGAAATAAGGAGGATGTGGAATGGGAAGTCTTGGTAAAGAAAGTGGCCTGGGCTGTGTGTCAGATATAGGAGAAGGGAGGCACAGGTGCCCAAGAAGGACACTCGGAGGTCATTCATTGACTGGAATACAAATGTCAAAGTGAATAGTTATTAGAAAAGAGGATGAAGAAATAAACCCGGGACATTAGAAATTAATCAGAGCTAACATTTATTCAACACTTGCTACGTGCCAGGCTCAGGTACTCACATGATAAATGCTCACAATAGCCCCGCACATTACTACTTTGCCACTGCCTTTTCACGAGGAGCAAAAAGAGGCACAGAGAGGCTACTGGCTCAAGACCATGAAACAAGCCAGGTGGGCGTGGGGAGAGATCTGGGATTTGAGCCCATGTAGCTTAACAGCTCTCAGCTTGTGCCAACTGCACTGACCAGTATTAGATAAACACCTGCTCTTACAATCACGGTGAAGAACCGATGTCACTCTGCCCGAAGGAGGCCAGTGTCTGAGAGCTGTTGCTAACAGGCAAAGGAGTTGGGGCTTTAGAGGTTCGGAATAAAGATATCAACAGCTGGAAAGGAGGGAAAAGTGATCAAATTCAGTTTCATCAAGTGATGTTATGAATTCCACCTAGGGAAAAGGAGAGATGCCCATAATTTCTAAGAAACCATTAGTAATTTCTATTGAATATTGAAATGCACTTTCAGGTGGTTGTGACAGGATCCTCGGCACTCACATAAATCTAACAAAGACCTTAACTAGAAGGTAAGCTGTAGAAGGGCAAGAAATCTGCCCATATTCTGTATCTCTCAAGTTCCCTGCTTGGGAAGAACACATCTCATCTCAGACTGCCTGAAATTCCAAACCGAGGTTTCCCCCTCTGCCAGCTGTATGTCCAGGTAGTAAACTATTTGCTAGGATAAAGGGACTGCATGCTTAGATTTCAGAAAACATTCCTCTTATTGAGTTGAAAGTGCATAAGAGGAAGAGTCATTCAGTGTGCTTGGCACCAAGCTGACTGGCTTCCTCTGGGTTTGGGGGAGGCTTCAGGGTCTCACACCTTTCAGGGAAAGTTCGGTTGTGAGCTGCAGAATAACAGAAGCAGTGGAGCATTCTGGAAGTATACCTACGATGGAAAGGACTTCATTGAATTCAACAAAGAATCCTCGACCTGGGTTCCCTTAGACCCAGCAGCCTGGAACACCAAGAAGAAGTGGGAACCCTATGCGCAGAATGCCAAGGAGTACCTGGAAGAGGAGTGTCCTAGGATCCTGCAGAGGTACCTGAACTACTGTAAGTGTATCCTAGACAGACAAGGTACTCACCGCTTCCTGCTCCCCAGCACTGAGCTGAGACAGACCAGGGTAGCCTCAGACTAGGAGCTAAGGGAACATCTTAGGCTGGTAACCTCCAAAGCTGGATGTCTCTCACAACCCCAGGAGGTGAAAGGAACATCCTTCCCTGAAGGATATGACATGGGATCAAAAAAAATATCTTCATCCAAATTTCAGAAAGGATGGGTGAGAAAAAGACATCAGTTCAATGGCAGCTTCCCTTAATTTCCCCCAATTGATGGATGGTGCTAACCACAGGAAGCTGAGGTTACATTAACACTGTCCATAGGAGTCAGACCTGGGCACAAAGTCCATATTTCAGATTCCAAATCCCATTGGTGCTTCTCTCTACAAAGATGCCGCCTGTCTTGGGGTTGGAGACAAAGCAGGTGTGTCAAATGCCTGCCCTGGAAGGAGCAGAACCAGCCAGTGTGACCACAATTTGTGACCACCAGCTGAGACTTGATCTGAGAGGTAGTGAGAAGCAGGACTGTGCGATGGAGCAGGGAGGAGATTACAGGACTCAGGTAGCTCAAAGGAGCTGGGCTCACACTGAGGGAGGGGGTTAGCTTCGAGCCACTGAGATAGGGGAGAACACGGGGAGGAGCATGGGTATCGCAGGTGGGCGCCTTTGCAAGTCAGTGCACGCTGGGACTGGGGGCAGGGAGGAAAGGAGCCAGGGACATTCCATGATCTAGCAGGGAAGGCCTGAATGAGGCCTCACCCCTCTCCCACCTCTGTGAAGCTTTCAAGGGAGTGGGGGTTGGGGGGCAGGTACAGACTTAGAGCTCTGCTGATCCCTGACATCCAGGGAGGGGCAGTGGGAACAGACAAGGGCCAGGAGAATTCGCCCTCATTCGTCAGTGTCCACCCTCTATTCCTCCACAGATCCTCCCTCTGTGGCAGGAACCAGCCGCAAGACCAGAGAGGACGTTATCCACATATGCCAGTCCAATGACCTCGACCCACAAGGAATTGGTCTGCTATGGACTCTGGGGTGTGAGGTGCAGGATTCTGAGCCAGGGGGTGACCTCATTCCCAGCAGAGGGTGCATTTACCTGTCCTCCGTGCTCTTAGGGGTGATCGCTCAGGAAGGAGACCTTCATTACTGCGACACGGAGAATGGTGCCCTGACCCAGCCCTTCTTGGTGCCCTCGTATGGCAGGCAGGACACAGGGGCCGGGGGCAGTGGGGGAACTAAGTCCCAGTAGCCATCCTTTTTGCCAGTCGTGAGAGAGCCGAACTTCACGAGATATCCTCAGTGGCATCGGCAGGGCCAGGAGCAGTGCACAGGACAGAGAGGAGACAGATTCACAGAGAGGAGTAAAACGCCGGGAACTGAGCTGACTCTCATGGCCACGTCGCCTCACCTTGCTAATCACGGCCCCCGAGTCCAACCTGTAGAATGTAATAAACAATAAACTTGCCTAGCACAACACACACGAGTGTTTTTCATTTTGGAATACTTTTAAAGTGAGAGCGAACTTCACCATTCTTCCTACTCCTCAGCATTCAAATCTTCCCATATTCTTAGTCTTTACCCAAAGCCATGTTTCCTGGGTATCTTAACCTGGGCTATCCCAAGTGTGACTTAGACCACCTGGTCCGTTGGGTATGGTCCAGGCCTCCACTGCTGACATCCATAGATGTGGCCATGGCCCCTCTCCCTGTGATGACTCAGAATTACGCAACCTCTGCATCCTCTGCAAAACAAATCAAGACTCTTCTATGCCTCAGTTTCCACAGAATTCCCTGTAAGACATCTCCTTCCTCTCCTGCTGCTCCACAGCATGTTGGCCTTGACCCACACACAGCAGAGCTTGGTTGAGAACCCTCAGCCCCCCAGGGCACAACTCAAGGAAGCAGGAACCAGCCCTGAGATTCTTAGAGTCCCGCCAAATCCCTGCGATTCTGTTTGTTAAGTTAAGTCACCATGGCCATTCACAGGTTTCAACCACAAAGATAGAGCAGAGCTCTCACACCTTACCTCTTCTCTAAGTGTCACTTGCCTAGGACTGTGGTTTTCTTACTTGAGGGACAAGAACTTCCTGCCCCTCCCAGCCCAGATTACTCCAAATCAGTCCTCCTAGCTGAGATCCTGAAAGAAACCATTCCCACCAATCAGAATTCTGACTCAACCATCTTATGTTTCCTGAAAGCCTGACTTTGAAGGCTATGACTTTTTTTTTTTTTTTTTTTTTTTTTTTTTACTGCTTCTGCTCCAAGTTGAAAAACAAATCTAAGAAATTATTCCATTAGTCTACCTAAAATCTACATTCCCCTCTTCTGGCACAAAAAGTCCTATCTGGACAGTAGAGGAACCCCAGGAAAAAAAGACAAAAATTGTTAAGAGGAAAAAATATATTCTAACATATGATGACACCTTCTACAAATAAAAAGGAAAGGATAAACATTTCAGATCAATGAGGAAATCAAAGTCCATGTGAACCACCCAGGGCTGAGGAAGACTGGAGTGAGATCTGATCTCGCCTACAGCAGGGGAGATGGGTAGAGAAGAATGAGGGGAAAGAAACCTCGGAAGACCCAAGGATGGCCAGCTGTGGCGAGGAGGACAGGGGCCCAGCACCACTCAGACATCAGAGAAAACTTCCTGGAGGGACTCAGACTTCAGAGGAGACAGGAAGGCCTAAGGTAGCTACCCAAGAAGAGGTCAGAAGTCTCCTCACGAGGTAGGTGTGAGGCAGCTGAGAGGGGAGGGTACAGGGGCCTGACAAGGGACGTCACTGGGAGTAGGGCTGGGACACAGGCATCCACTCAGCATCAACAATGAAAATTAAGGGGTCCACAGAAGCCCTTGGTTGCCTAACCCTAACCCTATGTTGCAGATCATTACTGTCTGACCTATCTCTACACCAGGCTGTCCAAGCCCAGTGAAGGTTACCCCAAGTTTTGGGCCGTCGGCTTCCTCAATGACCAGGAATCCTTCCACTACGACAGTGAAAGCAGGAAGGCTGAGCCTGTGGGACCATGGAGGCACGTGGAAGGAATGGAGGATTGGGATGAGGAGAGCAACCTTCAGCAGGCAAGGGAGGACATCTTCCTGGACACGCTGCAAGACATCATGGACTATTACTATGACAGAAATGGTCAGTGCACAACAAACAGCTAGGTGGAGGGTCTTAGCACAGAGGCAGTGGCAAGGGGTAAGAGGGATGGAAATGGTCCCTGTCCAGATGAGGAACAGGAGGCACAAGAAGAGATCATGAACACATGCCCATCCCCCACCACACAGCACCTGCTTCCTCCGGCTCTGGTGCTCCCCCTCCTCACCCCAGGCCTCAGTGCACACCAGGAGAGATGCCAGAGTCATGCCTTCTCCTGGCACCTCTGACCTCTCTCCTCCACACCCAACCTGTCTCAGGCTGACCCCTCTGGAGAAGGTCCCACACTCACCCCCTGTTAAGGGGTGTTGGATGCAAAGTGAAGCAATCTTGGCATCAGTCACACCTGGGTTCACAGGGTCGAAACTCCACTAGCTGTAGACAGTATTCAGGTTCCTTAAATACCTGATCTAAATCTGCAAAAACGGAAACACTGGGACCTACATCCCAGAGATGCTGTAAAATGTGTCTGTCTGTTCCACGAAGGACAAAATAGTCTGTCTCACTCTCCCTTGTATCCTATCTCCTAGGACTGGGTGCAGCCAACATTTGCGCATTATTAATATTTTGAATGAATAGAGAAAGGAAACCTACCACATGCCAAAACTCACACTGGGAGCTCAGTAAGTGCTGGATTTACAACCACAGAATGCTAGAGTTACATGGAGCCATAAAGATGTCCCTGTCCTTATAGAACAGATATAGGAAGGGTCTTGCAAGTGTGCTGTGTGGAGCTGGAGCAGAGACAGCACAGAGATTTGTTCATGTCTACTCAGCCTCATACTCTTTCTCCCAAACACACAGCCTGCCTCCCTAGGCAGGCAGTCTTACACCTGGTGGACTATGGATGTCAAATTACTATAGGGTGGGAGTTAAAATGTGGGATTCTGAGCACAAAATACCAAGAAGCTAGATATAATGTAATGGTTTGCAAAGGGACACAAAAAGTCTGCGAAATAAGGATGATATGGAATGGGATGGCTTGGTAAGGAAAGTGGCCTGGGCCGTGAGTCAGAAATAGGACAGAGGAGGTACAGGTGCCTAGGAAGGACACAGGGGGTCGTTCGTTAACTGGAATACAAATGTCCAAGTGAATAGTTATTAGGAAAGAGGATGAAGAAATAAACACGGGGCATTAGAAACTAATAAAGGCTAACATTTATTCAACACTTGCTACGTGCCAGGCTCAGGTACTCACATGATAAATGCTCACAATCACCCCCACATTACTACTTTGCCACTGCCTCTTCACAAAGGAGCAAAGAGAGGCACAGAGAGGTACTGGCTCAACGTCATGAAACAAGCCAGGTGGGCAGAGAGAGAGATCTGGGATCAGCCCACAAGGCAAGACAGCTCTCAGCCTGTGCCAACACCACTGACCAGTATTAGATAAACACCTGCTCTTACAATGACAGTGAAGAAGTTGTGACACTCTGCCCAAAGGAGGTCAGTGTCTGAGAGTTGTTGCTAACAGGCAAAGAGGTTGGGGGCTTTAGAGGTTTGGAATAAAGATATCAACCACTGGAAAGGAGGGAAAAGTGATCAAATTAGGTTTCATCAGGTGATGTTATGAATCCCGCCTAGGGAAAAGGAGAGATGCCCATAATCTCTAAGAAACCATTAGTAATTTCTATTGAATTTTGAAATGCACTTTTTGGTGGTTGTGACATGATCATCTGCACTCACATAAATCAAAGACCTTCACTAGAAGGCAAGCTGGAGAGGGCTAGAAATCTGCCCATATTCTGTATCACTCTTAAGTTCCCTGCTTGGGAAGAACATGTCTCATCTCAGACTGTCTGAAATTACAAACCAAGGTTTCCCCCTCTGCCCACTATGTCCAGGTAGTAAAACTATTCGCCATGGTAAAGGGACTTCATGCTTAGATTGCAGAAACCATTCATCTTATTGAGTTGAAAGTGAATAGGAGGAAGAGTCATTCAGTGTTTGGCACCAGGCTGACTGGCTCCCTCTGGGTTTGGGGGAGGCTTCAGGGTCTCACATCTTTCAAGGAAGGTTCGGTTGTGAGCTCAAAAATAACAGAAGCAGTGGAGCATTCTGGAAGTATGCCTATGACAGAAAGGACTTCATTGAATTCAACAAAAAAATCCCAACCTGGGTACCACTGAACCTGGCAACCTCGAACACCAAGAAGAAGTGGGAACCCTATTTGCAGAATGCCAAGGAGTACCTGGAGGAGGAGTGTCCTGGGATCCTGCAGAGGTACCTGAACTACAGCAGGCATATCCTGGACTGGCAAGGTACTCACTGATCCCTGCTCCCCAGTACTGAGCTGAGACAGACAAATGTGGCCTCAGGCTAGGAGCTCAGGGAACATCTTAGGCTGGTAACCTCCATCCCTGATGTCCCTCACACCTCCAGGAGGTGAAAGGAACACCCTTCCCTCAAAAGACATGACATGGGAGCCAAAAAAAACCTTCATCAAAATTTCAGAAAGGATGGGTGAGAAAAAGACATCAGTTCAATGGCAGCTTCCCTAAATTTCCCCCAATTGACGGATGGGGCTACCATAGGAAGCTGAGGTTACATTAACACTGTCCTTAAGAGGCTGCGATTGGGCACAAAGTCGATATTTCAGATTCCAAATCCCATTGGTGCTTCTCTCTATAAAGTTGCCACCTGTCTGGGGTTGGAGAGAAGGCAGGTATGTCAAATGTCTGCCCTGGAAGGACCAGAATGAGCAACTGTGACTACAATATGTGGCCACAAGCTGAGAATTTGCTCTGAGAGGTAGTCAGAAGCAGGACTATGCGATGGAGCAGGGAGGAGATTGTGGGACTCAGGCAGCTCTAAGGAGCTGGGCTCAGACTGAGGGAGGGGGGAGCTGTGAGTCACTGAGATAGGGGAGAACACAGGGAGGAGTGTGGGCATCGCAGGTGGGTGCCTTTGCAAGTCAGTGTAAGCTGGCAGTGGGGGCGAGGAGGACAGGAGCCAGGGACATTCCATGATCAAGCAGGGAATACCGAAGGGAAACCTCCGCCCTCCCCCATCTCTGTGAAGCTTTCCTGGGGGTGGGGGTTTGGGGCAGGTGCAGACTTAGAGCTCTGCTGATCCCTAACATCCAGGCAGGGGCAGTGGAAAGAGAAAAGGGCCAGAGGAAGTTGCCCTCATCCCTCAGTGTCCAGCCTCCACCCCCCCCCCACAGATCCTCCCTCTGTGGTGGCACCAGCCACAAGATCCGAGAGGCCATCATCCACATATGCAACACATATGGCATCCACCCACAATGAACTGGTCTGCTATGGATCTGGAGTGTGAGGTGCAGGAGTCTAAGTCAAGGGATGACATCATTCCCGGCGAAGGGTGCATTTACGTGTCCTCTCTGCAGGTAGGGGTGCCCCCAAGGAAGAATACTTTTATAACTGTGAAACGGAGCACAGTGCCCTGTCGCAGCCCACTCAGTGCCCTCCAAGGGCAGCCAGGACACAAGGGTTGAGGGCAGTAGGGGAACTCAGTCCCAGTAAACGCCCTTTCTGCCTGTGGTGAGAGAGCTGAACTTCACAAGTCACCCTCAGCGGCATTGGTAAGGCCCGAGAGCAGTGCGCCAGACAGACAGGTGGGGGATTCACAGAGAGGAGTGGGAACGCCGGGCACTGAGCTGACTCTCATGGGCACGTCGCCTCACCTTGCTAATCACGGTGAGGCGTGATTAGCCTCACCATAATTAGGTGAGGCTGATCACCTGATGTCCAACCTGTAAAACCTAATAAATAATAACCTTGTCCAACCTGTAGAACCTAATAAATAATAACCTTGCCCAGCACAACACACACGGGTGTTTTTCATTTGGGGATACTTTCAAAGTGAGAGCCAGTTTCACCATTACTCCTGCTCGTAAGTATTCAACTCTTCCCAAATTCTTGCTCTTTACTAAAAGCCATGTTTCCTGGGTACTTTGACCTCGGCCATCCCAAGTGTGACTTAGACCACCTGATCCCTTGGGTTTTGTCCAGGCTCCCACTGCTGACATCCACAGATGTAGCCACGGCCACTCTCCCTGTGGTGACTCACATTTCTGCAACCACTGCATCTTCTGCAAAACAAAATCAAGACTCTTCTGTGCCTCAGTTTCCCCAGAATACCCTGTAAGACATCCCCCTCCATTCCAGCTGCTCCACAGCATGTTGGCCTTGACCCAAACACAGCAGAGCTTAGTTGAGAACCCTCAGCCCCCCAGGGCACAACTCAAGAAAACTGGAACTGGCCCTGAGATTTTTAGACTCCCGCCGAATCCCTATGATTCTGTTTGTTAAGCTAAGTCACCAATTGCAATACACAGGTTTCAACCGCAAAGATAGAGCATAGCTCTCACACCGTACCTCTTCTCTAAGTGTCTAAAACTTTCCTAGGACTGTGTTTTTCTTTTTTCAGGGTCAAGAACTTCCTGCACCTCCCACCCTGATCACTCCAAAATCAGTCCTCCTAGCTGAGATCCTGAAAGAAACCATTCCCAGCCATCAGAATTCTGACTCAACCATCTTATCTTTCCTGAAAGCCTAACTTTGAAGGCTATGACTTTTTTATTTTACTGCTTCTGCTCTCAAGTTGAAAATCAAAGCTAGGAAATTACTCCTTTAGTCAACATAAAATCCACATTCCCCTCTTCTGACACAAAAAGTCCTATCTGGACAGAAGAGGGGCCCCCAGGGAAAAAAAGACAAAAATAGTCAATAGGAAAAAATATCACAATTGATATTTTAACATATGATAACACCTTCTACAAATAAAATAGAAAGGATAAACATTTCAGATCAACAGGAAAATGAAACTCTACATGAACCATCCGGGGCTGAGGAAGGCTGGAGTGTGAGATCTGGTCTCGCCTACAACAGGAGAGATGGGTGGAGGGGCATGAAGGGCAGTAAAGCTTGGTGTGGCCAGGTATGGGGACGTAAAGCAAGGTGTGGCCAGGTATGGGTAGCCAGGGGGCCAGAGCAACTCAGGCATCAGAGAAAACTTCCTGGAGGGACTCAGACTTCAGAGGAGACAGAAAGGCTTAAGACAGCTGGCCAAGAAGAGATTAGAAGAAGTTTCCTCACCAGGTGGGTGAGGCAGCTGATAGGCGAGGGTCACAGGGGCCTGACAAGGGACATAACCTGGGAGTAGGGCTGGGACACAGGCAACCACTCAGCATCACCAACCACAATAAAGGGGTCCAGAAAAGCCCACGTGGGTTCTTCTGGGGTCCCCACCTGCTCACAAACACACTGTCCCGCAGGCAGGGCCAACTCCAAGTGCAATTAGAGGACGCCCAACCTGGAGAGGCTCTTTCTCACAAATTATCTCCCTTTTTAATAATTCCTCAGTCACTTTAGAATAGCATGTCACTCTGTACTTGGGAGCAACCCTCTGAACACCGCCCACCATCCTCCAAAGATGCATGGAAAGACCTGGCTTCCAGAAACTGGCTATGTCTGTATCTATGAGTTTTTGTGCATTAAAAATTATCTTGAGAATAATTGGCAAAGGAGCACTAGTCACAAAAACGTTGAGAACTGCTATCCTAGAGGCACGGGGCAGCAAGAGACCAGTCGTGAAGGAAAGGACACAATTGCAGACTGTTACCTGTTCATCACATGACAATGGACACGGCAACAGACCAGAGCTCTCCACAATCTGATGCCAAACTCCCTTCTGCATTCAGCACCCCAACAATCCCACCCCTCAATCATCTTCATCAACTCTGTTTCCACCCAGCTGTCCTCAACAACCTTCACAGGTGTCTGGTCACTCTTTTTGTCCTTGCTCATTCATTTTCGTTAGTGCTTATCAACTGTCTTCTTTCTGCCAATCAAGGAGATAGAGAAAGGAACAGGACAGACACCCTCCCCATCCCTATGAAATTGGGCCCCATCTGCCAACAGCAATTCTGCTCACCCCCCTTCCCATGATGCCTTTCCTGATGGCTTCCCAGACTGGAGATCTTTCTCCATGATGCTCTTGTTAGTTAACATTGACCATCAGTACCAATCCTACAAGATGGACAAGAATGTCTGAATCACAGTATGTTATTAGATGGATTAGGTTTGGTAGTTTTTCCATGTTCATATTCTGCTTATGAATTTAGTTTTTTATTTCAAAGTAATACAGGGTCACAAATGTTTTGGTTACAAGGATCACTTTTGTAATGCTGGAGTCAGGGATATAAGTATACCCATCACCCAGATAATGTTCATTGTACCCCTTAGGTAGGTTTTTGCCAATCACCTACTCCCCACTCCCCACTGCATAACTCTAATTTTATATTACTGAGATTTTTGGTCTCTTTGTTTTCCTTTAACATATACATAATTTTGTTTTTTATTATTTTTTCATAGGCAAGGGTGTCACTAGTTATCCCAGGCTGGGCTTGAACTCAAGACCCTCCCACTTCAGCCTCCTCAGTAGGTAGGACCACAGGTGCACCCTACAAGTACTGGATCCACCACCAACTATTTAGGTCTTCATCATAGGGCTTAATTGGTGACTTTTATATCTTTAATTCCAGCAACTACAAAAGATAAAAGATTATTTCTGCACTACTACAGAAATTGATCAATATTCAGACTGCACTGTGAGTCACTGATGTGTACATTTGAGTTTATTCTCTAATTCTTTACATTTTATACCACTTCTGGACTCAAACGTCCCAGCCCTTGGACCTTAGTTACCTCACGTTCTTCACTCTGTCCTATAGGATCACCCACTGCGGACTTACACCGTTGCTTTCTGAGAACATTTTACTCTAGTCCAACACAAGACAGAACTCACCCAGCTGTGTTACCCGTCACTCCGCACCAGGCCTGCCAGAAATCCCCCAGGACCTCTGCACAGTCAAAGGGTTCAGCCCAAATCCGGCACTGTAAACAATGTCAGGTTCCCGTCCGGCCATTTCCCTGAGCAACTACTGCCTGAAAACAGCACTTGCCTAATTTCTTATCAGTCAGGAGCATTCATCATTGCAAACAATTGACTGCCCAACTGGCACTCCCACTGGCCTGTAGATTCTCCTCCCCTGGGCAGGGCCCCATGACCCAGGGAAAAACCTGTCTTTCCTGCCCAGAACCTGAGAACCTTCCAGCCAGGAACAGTGGTAACAATGGTGCCTGTCCTTCTGTCTCTGCTGCTCCTTCTGGGTCCTGTAGTCACCCAGGAGGCCCAAGCTGGTGAGTGGGGAGCAAGAGTGGGGACTGGAGAGGCCTGAAAGGAAGGTGAAGAACAAGACTCATGAGGTGGGTGGAGCTCTGATGCAGCTGGGATTCCCGAGTGCACGACAGTGATGGTTTTCCAGGTATATCACCTAACTCAGCTCACACACAGCCAGGAGTATTCAGTATTTGAACCAAGAATCTCCCATATTAAATCCAAAATTTTTTTGTAACATCCAGGTGAGTTATATCACAAATGAATTCTGGAACTAATTATGGAAATATCTCCCTCTCCCAGCCCTTGTCTTGTACCAAAATGCAAGGTACAGCCCTAGAAATTCTTTTTTCTTTTTCTTTTTCTTTTTCTTTTTTTTGAGACAAAGTCTCACTCTGTTTCCCGGCCTAGAGTGCCATGGGTCAGCCTAGTTCACAGCAACCTCAAACTCCTAGGCTCAAGCAATCCTGCTGCTTCAGCCTCCCGAGTAGCTGGGACCACAGGCATGCGCCACCATGCCCAGCTAATTTTTTCTATATTTTTAGTTGGCCAATTATTTTCTTTCTATTTTTAGCAGAGACAGGGGTCTTGCTCTTGCTCAGGCTGGTTTTGAACTCCTGGCCTTCAGCGATCCACCCACCTCAGCCTCCCAGAGTGCTAGGATTACAGGCATGAGCCACCACAGGCGGCCCCTTTTTTAGTTTTTCTTTTATTTAGTTGCATTTATAGAAACCCTGGCAATTCTAAGATCAATCTTAGTCTTACCCCAGGCTGATCCATTCTGGGACATCTCTACAGTTTTATAGTAAATTCTCCTCCTATGCCTTCTAACTATATGTATTGGTCAGATTTGCATAACACTCTTTATTTCTCGCTCAGGGCATGTTCAATGCAGATCCAGCACTTTCCTTCCCTCCACAGGGTGACTGACGGATGCAGGCCTTCCATCGTATGACTGTTCTGTTTGATCCTGTGGCCTCCACAGCCACCACTTAAAGGGAAGTGAGATAGAAGGGCCAAGTTGGCTCCTAGAGCCTTGGACCAGGAGAAAGACATCCTTCCACTCACGTTCCCTTCACACAAAACTCAGTCACGGGACCCTAATATGTATACACACAGGCAAAGAAATATCATCCTCTTATGTGCCAAGCAGAGGAAACAACATAGTGAAGACACAGGATGGTCCCTCAGATGCCATCCCCAGAATGAAACAGCCTGTTCTCTTGAGTGAGGCTCCAGTGGTGGGAGGCTGACTGAGGGCAGAGAGCTGGGGAGGGGGAGGCCCAGTGACCAGGTCGTCCACCTGGCCCTCTGCAGCCCTAGAGTGGGACTCCCCTGTGAGGACCCCACCCCTCAGAGTCTTGTCTTATTTAGCAGATCATTACTCTCTGACCTATCTCTACACTGGGCTCTCCAAGCCCAGTGAAGGCTACCCCAAGTTTTGGGCCGTCGGCTTCCTCAATGACCAGGAATTCTTCCACTACGACAGTGAAAGCAGGAATGCTGAGCCTGTGGGACCATGGAGGCACGTGGAAGGAATGGAGGATTGGGATAAGGAGAGCAAACTTCAGCAGGCCAGGGAGGACATCTTCCTGGACACGCTGCAAGACATCACGAACTATTACGATGACAGCAATGGTCAGTGCACAACAGACGGCTGGGTGGAGGGTCTTAGCTCAGAGGCAGTGGCAAGGGATCAGAGGGATGGAAAAGGTCCCTCTCCAAATGAGGAACAAGAGGCACAAGGAGAGATGCATAAAATCTTGCCCATCCCCCACCCCACTGCACCTGTTTTCTCCCTCTCTGGAGCCCCCAGTCCTCACCCCAGGCCTCAGTGCACACCAGGAGAGATGCCAGAGTCACGCTTTCTCCAGGCACCTCTGACCTCTCTCCTCCACACCTAACCTGTCTCAGGCTGACCCCACTGGAGAAGGTTTCAGACTCACCCCTGTCCAAAGGTGTAGGGTCCACAGTGAGGCAATCTTGGGATCAGTCACACCTGGGTTCAAAGTGTCGAACCTCCACTAGCTGTTGACAGTACCCAGTATCCTTAATTAACTGGTGTAAATTTGCAAATATTGAAACACTAGGACCTACCTCCAAGTTATGCTGTAAAATTTGTCTATGTGTTCCAAGAAAGACAAAGCAGTCTGTCTCAATCCTCCTTGTATCCTATAACCTAGGACAAGGTGCAGCCACATTTGCTCAATACAAATATTTTGAATGAATAGAGAAAGAAAACCTACCACACACCATAGCCCACACTGGGAGTTCAGTAAGTGCTGGATTTACAACCACAACTGCTAGAGTTACATGGAGCGATAAAGATGTTCCTGTCCACATGGAACAGATATAGGAAGGGTCATGCATGTGTGGTGTGCGGACCTGGGGCAGAGCCAGTACAGAGACCTGTCCCTGTGTCACAGCCTGGTACTCTTTCTCCCAAACACACTGCCTGCCTTCCTAGGCAGCCTGCCACAAGCCTGGTAGACTCTGGATGTTAAATTATTATAGGGTGAGTGTTAAAATGTGGGCTTCTGAGTACAAAATACCAACAAGCTAAATGGAATAGAATGGTTTGCAATTTCAAATGGACAGGAAAGCTCTGAGAAATCGGGAGGATGTGGAATGCGAAGTCTTGGTAAGGAAAGTGGCCTGGGCCGTGTGTCAGAAATAGAAGAGGGGAGGCACAGGTGCCCAGGAAGGACATGGGGGGATTGTCATTGACTGCAATACAAATGTCAAAGGGAATAGTTATTAGGAAAGCAGATGAAGAAATAAACACAGGGCATTAGAAATTTATTGGAGCGAATATTTATTCAACACTTGCTATGTGCCACGCTTAGGTACTCACATGATAAACACCCACAATAGCTCCTGACCTTAGTACTTTGCCACTGCCTTTTCACAGAGGACCAAAGAGAGGCACAGAGAGGCTACTGGCTCAAGGTCATGAAACAAGCCAGGTGGGCGTGGAGAGAGATCTGGGATCAGCCCATGTGGCTTGAGAGCTCTCAGCCTGTGCCAACAGCACTGACCAGTATTAGATAAACACCTGCTCTTACAATCACGGTGAAGAAGTGGTGTCACTCTGCCCGAAGGAGGTCAGTGTCTGAGAGTTGTTGCTAACAGGCAAAGGGGTTGGGGCTTTAGAGGTTTGAAATAAAGATATCAACCACTGGAAAGGAGGGAAAAGTGATCAAATTAGGTTTCATCAGGTGATGTTATGAATTCCACCCAGGGAAAAGGACAGATGCCCATAATCTCTAAGAAACCATTAGTAATTTCCATTGAATTTTGAAATGTACTTTCAAGTGGTTGTGACAGGATCCTCGGCACTCACATAAATCTAACAAAGACCTTCCCTAGAAGGTAAGCTGGAGAATGGCAAGAAATCTGCCCATATTCTGTATCTCTCTCAAGTTCTCTGCTTGGGAAGAACAAGTCTCATCTCGGCAGAGTGCCTGAAATTCCAAACCGAGGTTTCCCCCTCTGCCAGCTGTATGTCCAGGTAGTAAACTATTTGCCAGGATAAAGGGACTGCATGCTTAGATTTCAGAAACCGTTCCTCTTATTGAGTTGAAAGTGCATAGGAGGAAGAGTCATTCAGTGTGCTTGGCACCAGGCTGACTGGCTTCCTCTGGGTTTGGGGGAGGCTTCAGGGTCTCACACCTTTCAGGGAAGGTTTGGTTGTGAGCTCCAAAATAACCAAAGCAGTGGAGCATTCTGGAAGTATGCCTATGATGGAAAGGACTTCACTGAATTCAACAAAGAAATCCTGGCCTGGGTCCCCTTGGACCCGGCAGCCTGGAACACCAAGAAGTGGGAACCCTATGTGCAGAATGCCAAGGTGTACCTGGAGGAGGAGTGTCCTAGCATCCTGCAGAGGTACCTGAACTACAGCAGGCATATCCTGGACAGACAAGGTACTCACCGCTTCCTGCTCCCCAGCACTGAGCTGAGACAGACCAAGATGGCCTCAGATTAGGAGCTAAGAAACATCTCAGGCCAGTAACCTCCATCCCTGGATGTCCCTCACACCCCCAAGAGGTGAAAGGAACATGCTTCCCTTGAAGGACATGACATGGGACCCAAAAAATATCTTCATCAAAATTTCAGAAAGGAAGGGTGAGAAAAAGATATCAGTTCAATGGCAGCTTCCCTAAATTTCCCCCAATTGATGGATGGGGCTAACCACAGGAAGCTGAGGTTACATTAACACTGTCCTTAAGAGACAGAGATGGGGCACAAAGTCCAAATTTCAGATTCCAAATCCCAGTGGTTCTTCTCTCTACCAAGATGCCACTTGCTTGGGGGTGGAGAGAGGCCAGGTGTGTCAAATGTCTACCCTGAAAGGACCACAATGAGCCATTCTGACCACAATTTGTGGCTGGAAGCTGAGATATTGATCTGAGAGGTAGTGAGTAGCAGGACGAGGAGGAGATTGTGGGACTAAGGCAGCTCTAAGGAGCTGGGCTCAAAATAATGGAGGGGGGAGCTCTGAGCCACTGAGATAGGGGAGAACTCAGGGAGGAGTGTGGGCTTCCCAGGTGGGTGCCTTCACAAGTCAGTGCACACTAGGAGTGGGGATGGGAAGGAAAGGAGCCAGTGACATTCCATGACCCAGCGGGGAAGGCCTAAGGGAAAACTCTCCCCCCCCCTTTGAAGCTTTCTTGGGGGTAGGGGTTGGGGGTAGGTACAGAGTTAGAGCTCTGCTGATCGTTTACATCCAGGGAGGGGCAGTGGGAGCAGACATGGGCCAGAGGAAGTCGCCCTCGTCCCTCAGCGTCCACCCTCTATCCACCCACAGATCCTCCCTCTGTTGTAGGCACCAGTGGTGAGACCCCAGAGGCCATTTATCTACATATGCAACACCTATAGCACCTACACACAAGGAACTGGTTTGCTATGGACTCTGGACTGTGAGGTGCAAGAGTCTAAGCCAGGGGGTGACATCATTTCCAGTGGAGGATGCATTTACCTGTCCTCCCTGCTAGTAGGGGTGCCCCAAAGGAAGGAGACCTTTATTACTTGGAAACAGAACACGGTGTCCTGGCCCAGCGCCACAGTGCCCTCAAACGGAAGGCAGGGTGCAGAGGCTGGGGGCAGTGGGGAATCTCAGTCCCAGTAGCCGCCCTTTCTGCCAGTCCTAAGAAAGCCGAACTTCACAAGTCACCCTCAGTGGCATTGGCAAGGCCCAGGAGCAATGCACGGGACAGACAGGAGGGAGACTCACAGAGAGGAGTGGGAACGCCATGCACTGAGCTGACTCTCATGGCCATGTCGCCTCACCTTGCTAATCACGGCTCTCTTGTCCAAACTGTAGAACCTAATAAACAATAAACTTGCCCAGCACAAAACACATAGGTGTTTTTCATTTTGGAATACATTCAAAGGGAGAGAAAGCTTCACCATTCTTCCTACTCATAAGCATTCAACTCTTCCGAAATTCTTGGTCTTTACTCAAAGCCATGTGTCCTGGGTACCTTGACCTGGGATATCCCTAGTGTGACTTCGACCACCTGATCCCTTGGGTATTGCCCAGGCTTCCACTGCTGACATCCACAGATGTGGCCAAGGCCCATCTCCCTGTGATGACCCAGAATTGTACAACCTCTGCATCATCTTCAAAACAAAATCAAGACTCTTCTGTGTATCAGTTTCCCCAGAATTCCATGTAAGAATCCCCTCCACTCCAGCTGCTCCACAGCATGTTGGCCTTGACCCAAACACAGCAGAGCTTAGTTGAGAACCCTCAGCCCCCCAGGGCACAACTCAAGGAAGCAGGAACTGGCCCTGAGATTCTTAGACTCCCGCCAAATCCCTGTGATTCTGTTTGTTCAGCTAAGTCACCAACTGCCACACACAGGTTTCAACCCCAAAAATGGAGCACATCTCTCACATCTGATCTTTGTACTAAACATCCCCTGCCTAGAACTGTGTTTTTCTTTTTTTCAGAAATAAGAACTTCCTGCACCTCCCACCCTGATCACTGCAAAATCAGTCCTCCTACTAGCTGAGATCCTGAAAGAAACCATTCCCAGCCATCAGAATTCTGACTCAACCATCTTATCTTTCCTGAAAGCCTGACTTTGAAGACTATGACTTTTTTTTTTTTTACCGCTTCTGCTCCAAGTTGAAAATCAAAGCTAGGAAATTACTCCTTTAGTCAACATAAAATCCACATTCCCCTCTTCTGGCACAAAAAGTTCTATCTGGACAGCAGAAGGGCCCCAGAGAAAAAAAGACAAAAATTTTCAAGAAGGAAAAAATACCACAATTGATATTTTAACATATGATGACACATCTACAAATAAAAGAGAAAGGATAAACAGTTCAGATCCCTTTTACAAAAAAAGAGAAAGGATAAACATTTCAGATCAATGAGGAAATCAAAGTGGTGTGAACCCTCCAGGGCTGAGGAAGGCTGGAGTGTGAGATCTGGTCTCACCTACAACAGGAGAGATGGGTGGAGGAGGATGAGGGGAAGGAATCTTGGAAGACCCAAGGCATGGCCAGGTATGGGGAGGAGGACAGGGGCCCAGCGCCACTCAGACATCACAGAAAACTTCCTGGAGGGACTCAGACTTCAGAGGAGACAGGAAGGGCTAAGACAGCAGGCCAAGAAGAAGAGGTTAGAAGAAGTTTCCTCACCAGGTAGTTGTGAGGCAGGTGAGAGGGGAGGGTCACAGGGGCCTGACAAGGGAGGTGACCTAGGAGTAGGGCTGAGACACAGGCATCCACTGAGCATCACCAAGGACAATTAAGGGGTCCAGAGAAGCCCATGAGGGCTCTTCTGGGGTCCCCTCCTGCTCACAATCACATTGTCCCGCAGGCATGGCCAATGCCAAGTGCAATTTGAGAACGCCCCAACCTGGAGAGGCTCTTTGTCACAAATTATCTCCCTCTTTCATATTCCTCAGTCACTTTACAATAGAATGCAAGTCTGTGCTTGGGAAACCACCGTCCTCCAAACATTCATGGAAAGATCTTGCTTGGAGAAAACTGGCTGGGTCTGTATCCTATGAGTTTTATGTTATGCATTAAAAATTATCTTGAGAATAATTGGCAAAGGAGCACTAGGCACAAAAACGTTGAGAACCGCTCAGCTAGAGGAATGGGGCAGCCAGAGACCAGTCATGAAGGAAAGTACACAATTACAGACTGTTCCCCGTTTATCACATGACAATGGACACGGCAACAGACCAGAGCTCTCCACAATCTGATGCCAAACTCCCTTCTGCATTCAGCACCCCACAACCCCACCCCTCAATCATCTTCATCAACTCTGTTTCCACCCAGCTGGCCTCAACAACCTTCACAGGTGTCTGGTCACTCTTTTTGTCCTTGCTCATTCATTTTCGTTAGCACAACTCTTCCCAAATTCTTGGTCTTTTACCCAAAGCCATGTTTCCTGGGTACCTTGACCTCGGCCATCCCAAGTGTGACTTAGACCACTTGGTCCCTTGGGTATTGTCCAGGCTTCCACTGCTGACATCCACAGATGTGGCCATGGCCCCTCTCCCTGTGATGACCCAGGATTGTACAACCTCTGCATCATCTGCAAACAAATGAAGATCTTATTGTGCCTCACTTTCCTCAGAACTCCCTGTAAGACATCCCCTCACTCCAGCTGCTCACAGCATGTTGGCCTTGACCACACACAGCAGGCTTAGTTGTTGAGAACCCTCAGCCCCCCAGGGCACAACTCAAGGAAGCAAGAACTGGCCCTGAGATTCTTAGACTCCTGCCAAATACCTGTGATTCTGTTTGTTCAGCAAAGTCAATTACAAAAACACATGTTTCAACACCAAAGATAGAGCAGAGCTCTCACACCTTTACCTTTTACTAAGCGTCACTTGCCTAGTTCTTTTGAGAACAAGAACTCCCTGCCCTCTCCCCAGATTACTCCAAAATCAGTTCTGCCTAGCTGAGATCCTGAAAGAAACCATTCCCAGCCATCAACATTCTGACTGAACCATCTTATCTTCCTGAACGCCTAACTTTGAAGACTATGACTGTTTTTTCTTACTGGTTCTGCTTCAAGTTGAAAATCAAAGCTAGGAAATTTACTCCTTAGTCTACATAAAATCAAAATTCCCTTCTTCTGGACAAAAAGTCCGTATCTGGGCAGTAGAGGGCAGGGAAAAGACAAAAATTTCAAGAAGGAAAATATACGCAATTGGTATTTTAACATATGATGACACTCTACAAATAAAAGAGAAAGGCTAAATATTTCAGATCAACGAGGAAGTCAAAGTCGATGTGGACCTTCCGGCAGCGAAAGCTGGAGTGTAAGGTCTCGCCTACAACAGGAGGAGATGGGTGGGGAGGATGAGGGGAAGGAATGTTGGAGACTCAAGGCGTCGCCAGGTATGGGGAGGAGGACAGGGGCCCAGAGCCACTCAGACATCAGAGAAAATTTCCTGGATGGACTGAGACTGCAGAGAAGCAGGAAGGCCTAAGAGAGCTGGCCAAGAAGAAGAGGTTAGAAGAAGTTTCTTCACCAGGTGGGGTGTGAGGCAGCTGAGGAGGAGGGTCACAGGGTCCTGACTAGCAAGATGACCTGGAAGTAGGTCTCAAATTCAGACAACCACTCAGCATTACCAATGACAATTAAGGTGTCCAGAGAGGCCTATTTGGGTTCTTCCAGGTCCCCTCCTGTCACAAACACAACTGTCCCGTCCCACAGGCAGGGCCAACTCAAAGTACAATTTGATGACGTCCCAACCTGGAGAGACTCTTTATCACAAATTATCTCCGTCTTAATAATTCCTCAGTGCCTTTAGAATGCATGTCACTCTGTGCTTGGAAACACTTGAAATCAGCCCCGTCCTCCAAAGGTTCATGGAAGACCTTAGCTTCAAGAAAGCTGGCTGTGTCTGTATCCTATGAGTTATTATTTATGTATTAAAAATTATGTCCAGAATAATTTGCAAAGGAGCGCTAGGCACAAAAAGTCGGAGAACCGCAGACCTAGAGGATGGAGCAGCCAGGGACCAGTCATGAAGGAAAGGGACACTATTACAGACTCAGATTAGGCAGAGCACAAAGTCACACCCACAATGTCCTGGAAAAACACTGCAGCTGGCAGCAGGGGGCACCAGATGCCATGGCAAGACCAATATGCCTTCACCATGAACTGGACACTGGACGCAGTGTCCCCCATGTCAACTGCTGCCCACTGCCCCCACGACCTGGCAGTATGGGCCACCGCCAGACCAACAGAAGGACTGTCCACGATGCCGGCCCTTTCCTGACCCTGATCTCACAGTCCAGGGCAAAAGCTGCCTGCTGAACCCACGCCATGTGCACACCTGGTCCTTCTATGCCAAGGGAGGCTGCAAAAGGGGGAGTCTAACTACTCTCCTTCTTCCATCATGAAGATCGGGATTCCCAAGCATAGAATGGCAAGCATGGAGAGATGTGAATGTCCTCCACACAGAGCCAGGTCAGGTAGGGTGGGGAGACAGTGATCGTCCACCCCTGCTGGGATCTTCTGATGTCCAGGTTTTTACGTGTTGAGAGCTTTCCAAGAGGAAGGATGAAGTCTAGTCTGACACCCTAATTCCTGTACTCACATGAGGATGTCATCATAGACATGAAGGGTAACATACATCCCAGCCATCTGTCCCCTGCACACACAGCTACAGCCACTGACATCTTCCACCTGAGACATACACATGCCCCAGTCCCGAGACACAGCTGTCTCAGCTCTCAATCTGAAGAATCTGTCTGTGGACCCAGTGACCACAACCTATGCCCAGCTGCTTCCTGTGTCCTCTGTCCTCACCGTTGGGAGAGGAGCCCATCCTGGCATCCCACTGGCCTGTAGATTCTCCTCCCCTAGACAGGGCCCCACGACTCAGGGAAACCCTGTGTTCCGCCCAGAACCTCAGACCCTCCCAGACAGGAAACAATGGTAACAATGGTGCCTATCTTGCTTCTCTGCTGCTCCTTCTGGGTCTTGCAGTCCCCAGGAGGCCAAGCTAGTGAGTGAGGAGCAAGGATGGGAGTGGAGAGGCCTGGAAGGAAGGTGAAGAACGGGACTCATGGGCTGGGAGGAACCCTCATGCAGCTGGGATTCCCGGAGTGTACGACAGTGATGGCTGTCGAGGATATCACCTAACTCAGCTCACACATAGCCAGGGTATTCAGTACTTGAACCAGAATCTGCCATATAAATCCACAATTAGTAACACCAGTCAGTTATATCACAATTAATTATGGAATAATTATGGAAATATCTCCTTTCCCAGCCCTTCTCTTATACCAAAATGGAAAGTACAGCTCTGGGAATTCTTTGTTCTTTCTTATTTTTATTTTTTATTTTTTGTTCATTTATAGAACCCTGGGAATTCTAAGATCAATGTTAGTATTACCCAAGCTAAGCGATCAATTCTGGGTCATTCTTCAGTTTTCTAGTAAATTCTACTGTTATGCCTTAACTATATGTATTGGTCAGGTTTACATAACACTCATTTATTCTCACTCAGGGCAAATTCAATACAGATTGTGCACATTCCTCTCCTCCACAGGGGTGCTGAGGGATGCAGCCTTTCTATGTTATGACTGTTCTGTTTGATCTGTGGCCTCCAGCGGCCATTAAAAGGGAATGAGATAGAGGGCCAAGTCGGCTCCTAGAGCTTGGACCAGGGGAAAGACATCCTTCCACTCACGTTCCCTTCACACAAATTCTCAGTCACGGGACCCTAATATGTATAACACAGGCAAAGAATATCATTCCCTTATGGTGCCAAGCAGAGAAACACATAGTGAAGACACAGGATGGTCCTCAAATGCCATCCCAGAATGAAACAGCCTGTTCTCTTGGAGGTGAGGCTCCAGTTGGGTGGGAGGCTGACTGAGGGCAGAGAGCTGGGGAGGGGGACCCAGTGGCCTGGTTTTCCCACCTGACCTCTGCAGGCCTCCCTGTGAGACCCCACCCCTCATACTCTTCTCCTATTTTACAGATCATTACTCTCCAACTTTCTCTAAACTGGGCTTCCAAGCCAGTGAAGGCACCCCAAGTTTTGGGCCATCGGTTTCTCAGTGATAAGGAGTTCTTCACTACGACAGTGAAAGCAGAAGGCTGAGCCTGTGGACCATGGGCACGTGGAAGGAATTGAGGATTGGGATAAGGAGAGCAACCCTCAGCAGGCCGGAGGACATCTTCCTGGACATGCTGCAAGACATCAGGGACTATTACTACGACAGAATGGTCAGTGCACTACAGACGGCTGGGTGGAGGGTCTTAGCTCAGCGGACAATGGCAAAGGGTCAGAGGGATGAAATGGTCCCTGTACAAATGGGAACAGGAGCACAAAAAGAGTGCAAACACACATGTGCAATCCAACCCACAGCACGTGCTTCCTCCCCCCTGGTGCTCCCCATCTTCACCCCAGGCCTCAGCCGCACAGAAGAGATGCAGAGTCTGCCTTCTTGAGGGCACCTCTGACCTTCTCTCCACACAACTGTCTCAGCTGACCGCACTCGGAGAAGGTCTCAGACTCCCCTGTCCAAGGTGTTTGGGTCCACAGATGAGGCAACCTTGGGATAAGTCACACCTGGGTTCAAAGTGCTGAACCTCAACAAGCTGTTGAGAGTACCCAGGTTCTTAATTAACTGGTTCTAAATCTGCAAAATGAAACACTGGACCTTTCAAGAGATGCTGTACAATATTGTCTGTCTGTTCCACGAAAGACAAAGCAGTCTGTTCAATCCTCCATGTATCCCATTACTCGGACAGGGTGTAGCTACATTTGCTCAATAGAATATTTTGAATGAATAGAGAAAGAAAACATACCATACACCATAGCCACACTGGTAGCTCAATAAATGCTGGATTTACAACCACAGACTGCTAGAGTTAAATGGAGCCATAAAGATGTTCCTGTCTATGGAACAGATACAGGAAGGATCATGCATGTGTGGTGTGTGGAGCTGGGGCACAGCCAGCACAGGAGACCTGTCCTGTGTCCCACCATTGTGCTCTTTCTCCAAACACACTGCCTGCTCCTAAGACAGGCAGTTCATCATTAGTGGACTCTGGATGTTAAATTACTATAGGGTGGTGTTGAATGTGGCTTCTGAGTAAAATACCAAAGTTAAATGGTTAATGGTTTTCAAAGGACCCAAAAGGTTTGCAGAAATCCGAGGATGTGGAATGGGAAGTCTTGGTAAGGAAAATGGCCTGGCGTGGTGTCAGAAATAGGAGAGGGAGCAGTGCCCAGGAAGGACAACTGAGGTGTGTCATTGACTGGAATACAAATGTCAAAGTGAATAGTTATTAGAAAAGAGGATGAGAAATAAACACGGGACAATAGAAATTAATCAGAGCTAACATT